AATTCGATGTGCCAATCCAATTCTCCGCATCTTCCATTCAAAGAGGCTTATTATACCTGAGGCTTAATGACGCCTCGTACGAAGAGACGTGTCAAATTACACTCGCCCGAATCTGAGTGCCCAATAAACAAACAGCGGCTTGGAGGAGGAAGCGGCCGTGTAAGGACAGTCGTTTAGGCAGTTTTTATGGCGCGGACCTTCCTTGTCGCCTCGAGATCCCGCTGCATTCAAACGCTGAGAACTCTCGAGGCTCTGGCAGGAGGGGCGCCGCGGCCCGACCGGTTTCTTACTCGGTCTCAATACAAAGTGGGAAGACACCACAAAAGAGCTGTGTTGGGTCTCCGCTGTGCCGGTGGTAGCTGCATTATGTCGTGGGCACGTCAGCACCACGACCACCGGCAGTGGGGGACGCGTCTGGGACCCGGTGGCATTCCCTATGCACACACGCACACAGCTATGTCCACATGCACTCAAACCGCAATCAATTACACACACATAAACACAAACACACACGCGCACGCACACGCACACGCATACACACTCACACTCACACTCACACACTCTCTCACACACATACACTCTCACTCACTCACTCACACACACACACACACACACACACACACACACACACACACACACACACACACACACACACACACACACACACACACACACACACACGTACACACACACGTACACGTACACAAACCACGCCTAGACGCCTGGAGTTGTGAATGCGGCTCCGCATACACAGCGTCGGCGCCACTACTCCATTAAGGACGTTAAGGTTATAAGATGACATAAGATATACCTCCGTCGCTTGAAGGAAGATCGTGCGGGCGTCATTTCCTCTCGAAGCAGGCGGGCGTAAGGGCGGAAGGGCGACCTCGGGATGACAGTAGCATTTGGCGTTATGTAATGGCTAAGTTAAGTTCGCTGTAGTTATGAAACGAGATAGTAATCCGATGACTCTGATAGTGTTATTAAGACTTAAACATACAACACAGAGGAAACGCGTATTGAACTCCACATTAATGGGTCTGTTCGCGATGATGATTATAACGTAAAAAGTACGATTGGCTAGATAATTAACCTCGTCTGTGCCTAAAGCCGAGCAACTCCCGCAGTCATAGAAATTAAAATCCTCCGCCACGCAGCCACATTAGTAACTATAACCTCGCTGTGTTAATTCATTCCAAATGGGAAATGATAAAGCTTCCGGCTAATTAAAAAAAGGGGGGGGATGTTCATCATGGATGTTTTTTTCTCTCGCTTTCTCTCTCTCTCTCTCTCTCTCTCTCTCTCTCTCTCTCTCTCTCTCTCTCTCTCTCTCTCTCTCTCTCTCTCTCTCTCTCTCTCTCTCCCTCCCTCCCTCCCTCTCTCTCTCTCTCCATCCTCTCTCTCTCTCTCTCTCTCTCTCTCTCTCTCTCTCTCTCTCTCTCTCTCTCTCTCTCTCTCTCTCTCTCTCTTTCTTTCTTTCTTTCTCTCTCTTTCTTTCTCTCCCTCTCACTCACTCACAACACTTACACACACACACACACACACGCATTCGCATGAGTAAACGGAAATATCTAAGGCTTCCGAGCGCTCTGCTGATGGGAAGACGTGACAAGCTGTCATCGAAGTTAACCGCATGAAGTATTAGGTCGTAGCAGGGGAGTGACTTGGACTTTGGCTTCGTTTTCCAGAAGTGTTTATTGTCGGAGTTTGTTTGGATTCGCGTATGAGTCTGTGTGCTTGGATGATTACTGTTGCGCAAGTGTGGTGTAAACTGTATAAGAACCGCAAATCAACTGATTATTAATGTGTTTATATGTTGCTCTAGGCCGTGTTTTGACGTCTTATTCATTTTACAGGCACAAGACGGTGGCGCGAGTGATGCCAGCGCGGGAGGGCGAGGTCGTCGTCGAGGGCACCTTCAGAGGCATCCCTGACCCCGACTTCCGTTTGGTGTTGACCTCCAGCTTGACCCCTGCTGACCAGCGGCGAGGTTACCATATGACAGGGTCACTTGAGAGAGGAGACCGGAAGACGGGGCTCTGGCAGACGACCCACCTCGCTGTTACCAAACGCTCCGGCTTCTCCTGAAGGTGGAACGTCCGCCTCCTCTTTCCGGTGTTCCGTCACTGGCGGCCCTTCACTTCCGCCCGCGCCCACACTCCAAATATTCCCCAGCTCTGACGGGGGGATCGGCTATGATCTCTTCCTCACCTGGTGCAAGACTGAGGACCAGAAGTCAACCTACAGGAAGAAGCTGAATTCATCGGCAGAGCTACACGAGGTCTTTCCGAAGACTTCGCTCTTGTAGGCTCGCTGTTGCTTTGAGTGTGTTTGATTTACCTCGTGAGACTGGCGATATCCTCATGATAATACTCCTTTAATATAATGATGGATATATTGAATGAGCACTCACTCCTAATTGCTCGGCCTGTCATCTGGAGAAACGCCAGTGACAGACGCAAGCGAAGTTAGTAACAAATGTGATTAAGAACTCCTAACT